CACGTGGCTGTGCATCAGCTATGGTTAGAGCTGGGACGGTAAACACCTTCAATTTCCAGGGTCTATTGACTACTCTCATTCCCACTAATATTGTTGAGAAAAAGAACCCAAGTGTAGGTAGCAGTTCAAATGTTTTGTTATATTTTTTAAAAGTCATTTTCATCCAGCATCTGTGTTTTCTATAAGCAATTAATATAATACACATAGGGTAAGACTGCTCCTGTAAGTTTAGCAACTATGGAATGCCCTAAGCTGCCCGATTAGAGCAAGGACTTGGGGGCCGGGAGGGGCTTGAATCCTAGCTTTGCCATTTAGCAACTAGTTACCCTCTGTAAAACTACCTGACCTCTCCTTGATTTAATTTTCTCTTCTGTTACATGGAATAATAAGTATCTACCTCAAAACAATGTTGATAAGGAATTTAGAATAACTCTTGATACATAACAAATACCACATTTAGGTTAGCTATTATTAATTTTAGGACCTAGTACTCTAATCAACAAAGAGTTAAGAGTTTAATGTTATATCAAAGGAAATCAGACATTTATTGACACAGAGTTTTACCTGCTAATTAAAATATATCTTAACACCGAGTGTAAGTTATTTTTACAAGTCTCAGCTAATTGGATAACAGAGGTTCTTTTCAAGAGTCTTGGATAAATGAAAATGAGGTTAACCATTTCTTGACAATTGATGTTATTCTGCTGGACAAATGTTATTTGATATTCTATCAGTGGTCATCTATAATACAAGGTAAGATATTTTCATGATAATCTTTTGGTTGGAATTCAATGTCTTTGTAGTTGTTGGTGACCCCTGCTGGAAGATAGACGGAAGGCAGAGATTTAAAGAAGGAGGGAGTCAGAGAAGGAGGAAGAGGAGGAGGGAGAAAAAAGGAGGGAGAGAGGGAAATGAAATGATGACTAAAAAGTCATTAAGAAGATCTACATTGTTGCTTCCAATGCCAAAGTCCAGGCATCAGTTTTTTAATCTCACTGCAGATGTGGGGACTTCATTCCTTTTAAGGGCCTCTTTGTTGATCTAATAAAAACCAACGACCCCTTCTGAGAACAGTATCTAAAGGTATAAGGTAAAATTCATAATATTACAAAGGAAATCAACTAATTTTTGAAATGTAGATATCAAATACCACTTTAAAATCTTATTATGTATTAATATATGTACAGCTTTGAATAAATAAAATAAATGTTGATGAATCTGATTTCAAGATGAATCTAATTTCAATGATGAAAGTAAATGATGTTTATTATATGTAATGTAAGATAAAATTGACTCTCATATTACTGTAATGCATCCAACATACATCCAAATAAATAAATTTGTTTTGTCAAGATATAATAAAAATGGTTATATTTTTATTCACTATATTTATTGCAGAAAGAAATGCTCCATTTCAGTGAGAGATTAGTGAAAATAGAGATTTATTTTTTCTATTCAAATTTGTGTAGTCACTGAATTTTGCCTGTGCAACTTTCAGGGGCCCTGAGATCATGAGTTAAATAAACCTTTCTTCCTCAGAAGAGAATATGCTTCATGCTGGAATCCATACACAGGAAGTGTTTAGAAAGCTCATGAACTCTCAGAAACACGTTGTCTACATGTACAATCCCAGATTTGTCAATGATGTCCAAGGAAAAAAGTAACGACTTCTTCAGACTGGTTTTTAGACCTAATATATGACAAGCATTTATCAGGATTGTGTCCTTGTCTTGAGAACAAGGTGCAGTTTTCACAATCTTCCTATGTCAGTCACAATCCTGATTATCTACATCCTCCTCCTCGGCATCAACACCACCACTATCCTCATGTATATGTGATTCCTGAGGAACACTACTGGAAATATTATTATCAGCACAGGTTTGAGGATGGTCACCATCTAGGGATCAGTTCATTTTCTCAACCCATTAAATAATTAAAAAGAAGGGAAAAATCTCAGACTAGCAGAGAGAAATAAGCAAAAGCTTCTACTGAAAGATGAAGTTTCACATACATACATGTATTCAACATGGAGAGAGAAACTCTCACAAGTGGAGAAGAAACCTGGAAACTGAAATCCAATGATCCCAGGAGGATCTGGGTTTTTAAGAGTTTTAGGGGGTTCCCATTTCCTAATTTCTAATTGACAGCTTAAACAAAAAGAGGAGGTTGACAGGTTTTATGGCTGCAACTCATGAGGTATCAAGGTCTGACCTGTGGTCTTATCTGGACTAGCTTGAACTAGTAGGCTGGAAAGGGAACCCTGCTGGCTAGAAGGAGTGCCCCAAAGCCTTTGTTTTGAATCAGAAAAGAAGATGGGAATAAGCCGGATCTATTATTTATCAGTAGCCCTTTCCCTGTCTAAGTGTCTGCTCAAACATGTGGCTAGCTTCTAGTCCCTCAAGATAATATAACATAATTTAATATAGTAAATATATAATATAATATAATATAGTATAATATAATATAATACAATATCACATAATTAATACCCATACAATCATGTTGCTCTCAGCTTTAGTCAGAGAAGCCTCTTTTAGCAGTGGGCAGGCAGTGACTGCAGAGATTCATAACTGATAATCCTGCTGAGAACAACTAAGAAATCCTGTAATCAGCAAAAATATCCCTAACATAAAATCACTAAAATATCTATACACTACATGCTTTAGCCCTGTATTAGTATGTATTACTAATTCCATATTGCTTCAGGGCTTAGTAATATGGTATAGTAATATATACTCTAGCCTTCACAGAATTGTAGACAATTCTACTGGATTCAAGATCTTTGCTATACACATTGTTTAAAAAAATGGCACACTTCAGAGTAACTCAAAGTAAATCCTGAAGAAGTCTATTTTATTCAATTATTATAGAAACAGAGTACACAGCGTATCCTTATTTTATTAGCCCTTTCTGTAATTATTCTTCAGAATGCTCACATATTATTACATCAATTAACTGTATTTTAGAGTACTATTAAGTTTACAGCAAAATGAAGTGAAAACCATTGTCCTTGTGCGGCCCCCGCCTAAACATCTCCACTGTTGACATCTGTGTTGTGGGACAACAGACACCATGAATGTGGTTCACAGGAGGAACAAGTCGAGAACGCACAGACCTGCCTAGCAAACTCCAACACCTGTATTCTCCTGTTTATCTGAATGGGCTCCCTTTATTCCTAACGCAAAGCTTATTTCATGGGCAAAATGTGCCTCTTCTTAATGAGTACCTTGCAGAAGTTCAATAACTTTTCTGATATGTTAGAAAGTGTATAGTTTACCTTAGAGCAGAACAGTTCTAACAGCTGGTTCACATGGGCAACAGCTGATATCACAAACATATATGTTTGTCAGCAATCACTGAATTCTGTAGAAGGTACTTGTTTTAGTTGTGAATTAGTTGTGCAAAATAATAAGCATTGTTGTGATATTTTCATGCCTGCATTATGACAGACATTGATCATCTTCACAGGCCCGTACCTAAAGGTTTTTATGTAATGCACTGAGGTACCGGTTGAGAAATGTAAAGACCTCATTGAAAAATCATGCAAATACGATGCAAAATCATTGCAGAAAATAAACACTTTTGATAAATTCCTTTTGGATATTATAAAGTAATCAATAATTTTTTTCAAAATTAATTTAGAAGCTGGGTGGGTAGTTAACATTTGTATTTCTAATACTTGAGAGGCTGAGGCAGGAGGACTGAGAATTAAAGAAAAGCCTAGGCCAGATAATGAGGTTCTGCCTCAACAAAATATAGTAATTTCAGGAAAAAATGCACAAAATATGTGGAGTGCCTGCACAATAAAAACGACTAAGCAACACTGAGAGGTTAATAATAAAGGCATCAATAAAGGGAAATACTCTTCATCTCAAATGTCACAATGGTTCTATGAGCATAAAAATTTGTCAAAATTTACAGAAATGCATACTTAAAAGAGGCACATTTTATTATATATAATGCTGTAATAATGTTGCTATTTATCTATTTCTTTATTTTGATTTTGTGTGTATGAGTGTTTGCCTGCATGTATATAAGTGCACACATGTGTGCAATGCCAATGGAGGCCAGAAAAGGTCAACAGATCCCCTGGAACTGGAGGTAATGTAGCTGTTACCTGCCATGTGGGTGCTGGGAGCTGAACCCGGAGCCTCTGCAAGAGCAGCCAGCGCTCTTAACGGCTGAGCCATCTCTCCAGCCCCATAATGTTGTTTTTTCAGTTATATGATTTAGGATTCCAGAGGATAGGAGCTGCTGAGATTTTCTGCCAGGTTTCTGTGGGACAAGAAGAGCTGTGAGAAGCTGTATAACCCTGAGAGTCTGAATCATGGTCACAGAAATATCCAGGAACAAGTCATTAGAATCCATATGAAAATCACAGCTGACCTGCTCAGCATGATATTCTGGAACACCCAGCATCACCAAGTAAAAGCACCAGTGAGTTATATGTTTTATATAAAATTTGTTAGTAATTCATCAAACAGAGAGGGGGGTGGGGAGAGAGAGAGAGAGAGAGAGAGAGAGACAGAGAGACAGAGAGACAGAGAGACAGAGAGAGACAGAGAGAGAGACAGAGAGAGACAGAGAGACAGAGAGACAGAAACAGACAGAGAGAGACAAAGAGACAGAGAGAGACAGAAACAGAGACAGAGAGAGAGACAGAGAGAGAGAGAGAGAGAGGAGAATGAGAATCCTGGTAAGTCTTGCCTAATACTCAGCACATTTGAGAAATCTCTACATTTTCCTTCCCTTCCCTGGACCTCTGGCCCATTACCCCTTTTTTTGTCCACCCAGAGCCATCATTTACATTTTCATTCTGGCTGATGCTCTTTCATGTGCCTTTCTGTTAGTTCCTTACGAAGCTAATGTACTTCTTATTTCCTGAGTGGGTCCATTATGAGTTTGTGTTCTAAGAAAAGCCAGCAGTCAGCACTGTGTACTGGCTGCTGGCACAGAAGTACACAGCTGAATCTGCTAGGTCGGTGGACTGGATCTCTATGGTGCAGCGGGAGTTCGGGGAGCATTCAGCTGAAATTTGATTATTAATCATTTCTGTTTTATCTATGATATCTGCATTCTGAAAGTAAACCAAAAACTTGAGCTCTTCTCCAAGCTTCTTGTGATACCAATAGACATAACTATGTCCTGTCATAGGGACACATTTAATTTTGGCTTTCTGTCCTTTTCCTTTGACCATATGTCTAGGACTCTGGATGACTTCTGTGTCCATGGAACCTGTGGAGAAAGGAGACAGAAGCTGAAATCAAAGTTCAGAAAGGAGCCTAATATCACAAATACAAGACAGCACGCTGAAAAGAGTCCAACCAGCTCAGACCAGGGACTTACATGCTTCCCAGAGAAAAAGGGTCACAAGGCAGAGAAGCTGGAGGCACATAGTTGGCTCAGAGAGAGCTGTGACACGTAGCCTTCTCTGAGGGCTTTCCCATCACCCTCAGACAACCTTCCTGTAATGTGATCACTCCCCTAGACTGCACAGTTATTATGCATATGAGGCAGTAATATTGCCTAGAAGTTTTTCAAGACCTTGCTCATATGACCTTACAGCAAAGGTGACAGCATGCACAAGACCCATGCAAACTCCAACCAGACAAAAACCCAGTATAGAACTAGGGAAATAAGCAGTAGACCCCAGACTTAGCTAAGGAACTATTGACAGCTGATCACTGCTGGGTGAAACAAAGTTGATCTGCTTTAAAGGACTGATGCCTGACCATGCTCCAGTGGATGAACTCACACCAAGGGACATCTAAGAAGACAAAATTGACTTGATAGGCATTAACATATGTGGTGAAATGCATGACATCTGGTAGGGGTGACTATGGGGTGTACAGGTAAGGTCTAAATATGATTAAGATGTATTATAAGAAATACATAAAAATTCAGTAGAATATATATTGCAAAAAAAAAGAATAAAACATTGAAATTTTCAAATCTGTTTAGGACATATATGCAATGGAGATGCAGAAATAATGAAATCAGTATCCTCATCTGAACCAGTGAGATGAAGAAATGGATTATGGCTGAAAAATGTTGACTCTGTGTCACTCTTGGACTCCACTAGTCTCCACTAACGTCCAGAGAGGTGTGCCGCTGAAGTTGACGTTTAGGCCTCATTTGATATTCATTGGAATGTTTAGCATTATATAAGCATCTGAGGGGCTGGTGCAACAGTTGGAATAGACCCACACCCAAGAGAATTTTGGAAATACAGACTAGATTCCGTAGACCTTTTTTTCAAAAACAAAAGCCAAATAAAAATAGAGAACATGAAGTTGGAGAGGGGGTAGTAAGGTAGGGTTAGGAGTGGGGAGGAGTCTGAATACGATCAAAATGCATTTATGGAATCCTTGAATCAATAAAAATATTTTGTAATGTTTTTTAAAAGTGATCTACAAATTATCTGTCATTAACTCTTGTTTCTTGAATTTAAGAGGAGCTATTCCGTTTCTATTTTTCTAGGATGTCACTTTTTATTATACTTCCTGTTGACACATATAGCTTTATATAATTCATGTCATTAATATTTAGTGTTCCATTACATTCATTGTTATAATTTACTATACATTCTCGATGCTTTTATCACAGTAGGTTTTGACAATATTACATCTTGTAAATGTTTTTGGATACCTGGGGGTAAGATTTTCTCTGTCTTTGGGAATGCACGAACAGGTCAACTTAGTATAATATGGCAAAAACGCTTTCTAAAATGATTAAATCAAATAATTTTACCTGAAGTTCCTGGGCATTTTTAAAAATATTTTATTGTTTTATTTTATGTATATGAGTATATTGCCTATATGTATGTAAGTGCACCTGCACTGTGCAATGCCTGCAGAGGTCAGAAGAGGGCGTCAGATTCCCCTGGAAGTGGAGTTATGGATGGTTGTTAACCGCCATGGGTGCTGGGAATTGAACCTGGGTCCTCTGCAAGAGAAGCCACTGCTCTGAACTGCTAAGCCAGCTCTCCAGGCCCCATGAGCATTTTCAAATGAGCCACCTCTAGGTCTACAACAGATAGGTAGCAGCCCTTTAATTTTGTCTATTGGGTTCAGATTTTTCTTCATGGTAAAATACAGTATTAGTTTACACTCATTTTGATAAGGAGATTAATCATTTTTTACAGTCAATATTTTCTGGAAACTGGCCTATGCTCACATTAGTTTTTGGCCAATTAGCCGTTATTTGTCCATAAGAGCTCTTTGGCCTTGTGGGATTCTCATCTTTCTCACCTATGTGTCTTACTTATCTTCCCAACTTATGTCTTATGATTTTATTTTCTTTGCCATGATTTTTGTCATATTTCCTAACGTAGTAGCTTTGCCATTCTTTGGGACATACATCTTGTATTGCTCGTAAGAATTCTCCCATAATTCAACTTCATTAATATGTTCTATTATTATTTACCAAAACATTTAGCATTTTGAATTTTCATCTAACCATTTAATCCATTTGTAACTGACTTGTGCTGTAAAGAAAGCCTTAAATACATCTTTCCTTGTAGACCAAACCACTGTCTCCAGAATAACTCATAGCATATTACACCACCTCCTCCTGTGTCTGCAGTGACACCCCCTCATATGTTAAATCCATATATTTACACACCTATTGTTATGTTACCGTTATTTTCCATCTGTCATTTACGTAGCTGCTCTCATTCTCCTATCCTGCAAAATAACTTGATAGTTGTAGGGTGCCGGGAGCCAACAGTTGCTTAAGTCAGATTAGCGTGAAACCACCTCAGGTTGCACCATTTAGATAAGCAACCGTCTCTCAGAAACCAGGTAGCCTCACTGGGGTTGAGCAACCCTAGCAACCTTAGCAACACTTCCCCCTTTTACAGATTACTTCATTCTTGAAATTTCCCCACCCCTAGCTTCGCTTCCTCCTTTTACTTGTTATATAGCAAACAGAAAAATAAAATTTTCAGAGCTTGATCAGACCACCTGTCTTGCTCTCGTTTCTCGTGTCTCTTGTCCTTCCATTCGTCGGTTCTTTCCTCAGGTCCATGTTGAAGACCCCCCTGGCCGGGGGCAGTAGGGAAAGTTTTTTCGTAGTTCTTAAATACTATCTTATCTTTATTCTTTTCTTTCTTCCACTTCAATTTTAGAGATTTTCAATTTGCACAAAAATATATCTTTTGTGATTGTAATTGGTGTTGCACTGATTACTTAAATAACACTGCCACATTTGAATATTTGTTACTATTGGGCTCATTTGTGACCACAGTATATATCTTCACCTATTTCAGACTTACAAAATGTATCCTTCTAAAATTTAAATACTTTTCTACATTGAAATCTTGCCTGTGTTCTAGTATATTTGTTCCTGAGTGTCTTAGCTATTTCTGTTGTTACTATTTTAAATGGTCTCCGTTTGTGCATGCCTAAGCAATATTTCTCTTTAAAACGTTTGTTGTTGTGTAATAATAATGTTGTATGCATAAATAAAACTGACCTTTGGCATTTATGTTATGTCCAATAAACTTACCATATTTAGCTATTAGTGCTGCAATGCTTTTCTGGGTGCTTTTGGATCTCTAAACTTTTCATTTCCCAACAATTAACTCCTTTTCTTCCTTTCTCATGGTCACCTTTTTTTTTTGTTCCATTAACTGAAAAATCAGTACAATGTTTACTCAAAGAGACAGTGTTATTCACGTGTTTCCTTACTTATCAAGTACACATGCCTACAGCAATTGATCTCAGCCTCCACATGAGGCTGAGGTATTGCAAAATCTACAATCCACTTCTGTTATTTCTAGTTTCAACTAGCTTCGCAGATATCTCAGTTTATTCTTTCAATCCATGCCTCAGCATCTCACCTAGAGAATCTAATGAGTATTTTCAGGTGAAGACTTGTGTCTGCTCTTTAAGTGGAACAGGTTATTTTACAGAAATACCCACATCGCCTCCCAGTGGTGAAAGGGCAAATTCATTTCTATCTGCTCATAGTATTGACCTAGGACTCCCAGGAGTTAGCAGTGACCAGCTCCATGGTAACACCTCAGTGAGGGAAACTAGGAAAGAGACAGTACATGATGTGGTCCGTGCATACTCCAGAGAATTATTGCAGGAAACAGTTTCTCTACTACACAATGTTAATACAGTATTGATGGATTGCTACTTATTTTGTTCTCAGCCTTTCTTTAGGCAGGTTGTGTGTGTGCTGATAAACATTTGTTCTAAATTCTATGCTCTCTTCAGTTTGTATTTCGACTGCAGAGAACTTGAGTAAATTCGTTCTTTCAACTATCCTAAGTGTCCTGAATATTTGCCTCTTTCCCAGCTACTTTCTAATTCTTGATGGGTACACTCAGCTGATTTCTGCATATTCTCAGAGCTCCCCAAATCACAACACAAGCCATGCTCTTCTTCCCTTGACCCTCCGGATCCATTGGCTGTAGTTACCACTTTCAAATATCCTGTCTGTTGATGCTCATACCTAATCAATTTGCTTTGTTTCCTATACAAACACCTTTAAAACTCCTTGCTTCCCCATATTGTCATCACCATCACCTGAGCCAGTCCATGAATTCCCTGGGCTACTACAATGGCTGACTCTTTGTCAGTTCTCTCACTCTGTTGAAAGAGAAGGCCAATATAACAGTACAAGATATTCCACTTTGGCACAATGTTTATTTTGAGCTAAAGATGTCTGAAAAGAAATAACACATATAAGCAGGACACACCACCCCCTTTTTTTTCTCCCCAAAACTAAGACATAAAACTTCTGAACAGTGGATGTCCTTTCTAGACCAGGAGGAAGCTGAGGTAAAAGGAAATCTGTAAAAGAAGCAACAAGTCCCTTCCTTCTAATTATTTCTTCACATAGGAACTTGCTGTAACTTGGGTCCATTTACATCAGTTTCACAATTTCATATTCTTTACTGAAGCTTTCAGTTTGTTGTCTGATGGCTTATATAAAAGTTGCATTTTTTCTTCTATTAATCTGCTTTAAGTCAGTTTAATTATTAGGACAACTAAAAACTTCAGAGAAGGAAGAGGTACAATTTTGCTTCCCCTGCACAAATGTCATTTCTTCATCTTGCCATTGAAGTGGTCAGGCACACTCACAGCTCTAAGTACTACAGTGGCTCCTATAAAGGTATTCTCAGTTCTATCACATTTACTTTGATGCATAAGATCATGAGTGGGATGATGTTTCCTGCCCATATAAGTCTCAGTTTGTGCTCATGACTTTCCTCATCCTGTTCCTGCTCCATTGCTGGTCTCCTTCTATTCATTAACTGTGGCCATTTCTTTCTTGAGTGAAACATTTTGCAGTCACTCTTCCACCTTTATTAAATGGCTTATCCCTGTCCACTTAATATAGTATAACTCATTTTAATGTAAAGTTTGTAGGAATGTTGTATACAGTTTTCCTCACAATTTTTCTTCAAAGGAATATAAGCTTTTTTATCAGGCACTCCTATTCACCACAGAGTGTTGGATCAAGGATCACCTGCAATAAATTAACCACAGTTCCTTTTAGTTAGATAAGATAAAAGAATCTTAACTAAATTCAAAAATGGCACCAGAGAATATATTACCAACAAAAGACATTCAGTGTTCATAGGTATTTGAAATTGGTATTGTTCAGTCAAAAATAGTCGGAATGCTTTAAATATTTCAGTAGGAAAAATGGTACCTGTGGTTTGAAATTACAAAATATTTAACCAAATGATGACCTTCAGACACCCGAGGTCTATACACTGAAGCAACTGGATGAAAACTCCATGAAATAACA